AATTAAGAGATCAGTAATCTGCAGATGACTACATCTGATAATTTTTCAAAAGAAACTGGAAATCCAGATTTTTGGCATAAAAAAATCTCCTAAATTATAAATATTTGAAAGCAATTCAATTTTTTTGAAAGCGCTGCTGTGCCAGCTAACATTGTACAGGCCAAACAAAGACACAAACAGCACACCCCACCTCTGTAGTCCTTTCACTGGTAGCCTGCTTCATAGTGGGGTTAGATGCTGAAAACCGAGAGAGGGAAGGTTAGATGAGAAGGCTGACAGGAATCTGGATCTCGGTGAAATATTTGTTTTTTGCAAATGAGCTTTGGTAAGAATAATTTTCTTGGTGTAGGTGGGTGATAAAGGAGGTAGAATGGGGGTGAGAACCAAAGTTGCCTCTTTGGGATCAGGTCCCCTTATTTCTTCTTTGGAGTAGTATTGGTCTTGGCCATAGGAAAAAATAGCAGGAATCAAATTAACAGCTCTAAGGGAGCAATCAATTTACAATTGTGTGAAGTGTGAATTCCTTTGTGCAAGAAACAAATTACAGTATTTGCAAATTTGTAAATAATGCAGCACTTTCCCTGCAATCCAAATGCTTTGGGTGTCCTCCGGAGAAAGAAAAAGAAGTCTGAAGAAGCAAAATGTTAGAAAATGACCTATTGTCCCAAGAAATGGAATTTTTAAAATATCTTTAGTAATTGATTTTTTCAATTGAATCCTTATTTAGGAACTATAGAGAGGCCCAGTTCTTAGGTCAATAGAATGAGAGTATCTAGAGAAGTAAACAACTTCAAGTCCAAAGTCACAGCATATTATTAACAGGGTAACTTCTTTCAAAAGCACTATACACAAAAAATTTCCCTCAACCCTCCCTACACCCCTGGCTTGTGGCAAGAGCTTTCATTTCATAAAAGAGATAGCAAGCCCCAAGTCATAATAGTCACTACGTTCAATGTCAGAGAAGGAATTGGTGACAGGTAAGGACATGAACCCAATCTCCCTGCTCTGAAGCAGTGGGTTTTTTGAACAATTCAATTCACAAATATTTATTGGGGCCCATTTTGTTTGTTTGTTTTATTTTTTTGTTTTGTTTTGTTTTTTGAGACAGAGTCTTACTCTGTCCCCCTGGCTAGAGTGCAGTAGAGTCATTGAAGCTCACTGCAACTTCAAACTCCTGAGCTCAAGCGATTCTCCCAACTCGGCCTCCCAGAGTGCTAGGATTACAGGTATGAGTCATAGTGCCTGGCCTGGGGCCCTTTTTTATAGAGTTAAACTCATTGCTTTCTCTAAGATTTTCAGTGCACTTTGCTGAGCTGTGGGTTGAGCTAGAAGCCACGGAGACAAAGGAAATGTAACTCTACCCTTCCCTTCAAGGGGTTTGAAGTCTAATGAGAAAACAACTTAAAACAATCATTTTGGTAGTGAGCTTGATGGTAAAGAAGAGGTATAGTGAGATACTACAGATACTTGACTCTATCAGGAAACCTTTCAAAGGAGAAAAAAATGGCAGAAGGAGGGAGAAGGGATTAGAGGTAGAGGTAAGTGCAATATTGACAGGCCTTCTGCACGAGAATGACAGATCAGATTTGTGCTTTCAAATGATTGCTCTTGCCTGTGTTCTTATTTAAACCTCTCCACAAAATATTTTAGTAAGTTGCACCAAGAGACATATTCATAGTATTTTAGTTAGAAATTCCATGTCTAGGAATCAGAGATGCTGCCAGAAATTTAAGTATGAGGAAGTTTATCACACCATCATTACAATCATGAAAAACCAGAAATAGCCTACATATTCAACAATGGAGTAATAGTTAAATAAATTACAATACATCCAAGCCATGTGATTCTATGCATTCCTTGCAAAAAAAAAATCATATTTTAAAAGAATGAGGAAAAGTGATTATGATCTAATAGAGTTTTAAAATGTAAAATATTTAATGAATTATCATCCTAATTTTATAATAAAAAATTAAAAAGTAGTTCTCAACATTGATTATAATTTTCATCCATATCCTACTTTTCTAAAGTTCTTCCTTGTTTTAGACATAGTGGATAACAATAAGGGTGGACTTTCTCCTAGCTCTGTGTGAAATCAAAAGAACAGGCTTTTGTTTCTTTCCCTCTTAACTATCAGTGTGAGCCCCGATTTGCGAATCACTTACTCTCTAAATCACATTCTCTTTATGGTATACAGACTATCTAAGAAAGGAAGGAAGGCCAGGTGAAGAATGAAAGAGAAAGGAGGGATCCAGAAGCTGGACTTGACCATGAGAGAGGAGAACAAGCATGATGGGAGCGAAGGTATTAGGACCAGAAAGAGTGGTGGTTGTGTGTTGAGAATGAGTTACTGGCATTGAGTAGTTCAGTGATGGAACATAAAAACATATATAATGGTTCAATATAAGAAATGTCACAGTGCAGTTCATGATTAACTGTCAAATAAGTGGCACTATAGACAATAAATATTATAAAAGTTTGGAGGAATTTGGTAGAGAGAACCATCATCTGACCCATATATCATTAATGACATTAATTCTCTAAAACCCCCCTTAGCAAGCTTTGTTACAGGGTGTAATTGTATAGGGCTGAACTCTCTTGGCTTTCCTTTCTGGGGGATTTAGATACTGAAGAATTTAAAGGACCTTGTTGCGAAAGGATTTTAGCTGTTAAGTGAAAAAAGAAAAGAAAAGGTTATAAGAAGAATGTGTTCGAAAACAATATGAAGTTAAAATACTACTTGAGAAAATTCAATCTGCTCAAAAATGCACTTCATCCTTCAATTTCTCCTTTCCTTTAAAAAGTACTCACATAAAATCTGTTTTAAAAAACAGAACCAGCTAGGAACATAGCCCAAGAAATTTACCACTAAATGGGGACACATATGTGTTTCAGTTCTTAGAAAAACTGTGCCTTGCTGACTTTCTCCCTGGATTTCTTGGTTCTCTGCATTGAAGGGCATGTGGTAATTCCTTCCTTTGCTGAATTTTCTTGGTTTTCCAATTTCTTCTGATTCTTGAGCACCTTTCCAACACCACTGCTATGCTAGGTTTCGTAAGTCTGCACAGCATCCAGTGACCTTTAGCTGTCACAAGCTAAACAGATCAACACATTTACCCAGTCACGTAACTTGGACCCTTTTGGGGTTTTCCAGTCTATGGTAATCTATTTAAACCTGAAACCGGCAGATTTCAATTTCCTTTGTTCCTGCGTATACTTGGTTTATACTTGTTGGTCTCTAAAAGGGACAGAGAGGAGACAGCTGTTGAGAAATGAGGAGATTGGCAGTTTTAACCGCACAATTTGGTCTAATAGCTTTGATATGCTAAACTTGCTAGCTCCTCCAAGTGTACCTTTCTGATTTTGCATCACAACACCACACTGAATCCCTAAGGAAACCAGGGTAGTTTTTTAAATTAAAAAGAAAAGAAATGCAAACCAGTGAAACCGTTCTTTTAAATCTTGTCCACAGATTTCATCCTGCGAACTGCAGGCCTTCACGAATCCTGGTACACTAAGGACCTTTAAAAAAGGAGAAGCCGAGAATACTAATCAGGTTCTAAAAATCGAAAACAGGTGATGTCATAACGTATAGTCCTGTGGTCACGGCCAAGGCCGGGTGGGGAGCGAGCACGGCGCTCCGTGCCAGTGGGCGATGCAAGTTATCTCCGCGGCCGGGAGGACACCGGTGAGGACCGGGCACCAATCAGGTTCTCGCTCTGCGCTTGCCTTTGTTCTCACTCGGGAGCAGGTTTCGGGCGTCTAACATCAGGAACCTGCATCCCACCCGCACGCGCGTTGCCGGCCCGTTCGGGAGACCCGACCCCCTCCCCCACCCTCCCGTCTACCCACACTCGGTCAGCCAGCGCTTCCCCCAATTACATTTGCCTTCTCTCCCCAGAAGGCGGACGCTAAATCCCTGACTCACCATTTTTAGCTTTGGAACAGGCAGGTCTGGCCTAATAGTTTTAAACGGCAATTTGTTCTCTGAACCTTCCTTCCCAAGCAGGGCCCTGTGCTCTGCATGTATCCGAACAGCTGCCTCAGGAAGGACTTTTGAGTGAGAGGACAAACCTCTTTGGCCTTTTTGTGCTGGATACATAAAGGAACTTTCATCTCTAAGAGGACTGAGATAAGATGCTTCAGATAGAGAAGGAAACCGCTAAACCAGAGGTTTTGTGTTTACTCCCCCACCCCCCAGTAATTCTACAAATATACCTCAGACATTTTATCTCCTACCCCCTCCCAAGCCTCAGGTAACTGGTGTTTTGCAAAAACAAGGTTCACAATAAATGATGCATAAAGTTCTTTGAGATCCCTGTATGCAAACTGCTACATAACTGCAGTGTTCTTCACAGCTAAACTTAGATTGTGGCTGACAGAAGGAACGTTTAACCTGTCCCTCCGTCTCTCTTTCTCAAGAGATGAGGAAATGTTCAGCTCAGTCTTACACTCTCTAGTGAGCCATAGCTCCCAGCTATTTATCTCACGCTCCCCACCATTTCGGCAGGGACCTGGAGGAAGGGGGCGTGGCTTGTACTGGGGGTGGGGCTGAGCGTCCATATATTTGCATGCGACACACCCTCTTTTTCTTATTGGTGGAGCAGAGCAAGCCATATTCCCTCCCACTCCATTACCTAACTAACCCTCCATCTCCCTTCAGTTCCGAGCCTCGGAGATAAACTTAACTTGCCCGGAGATTCAAGGCGTCCTAGGCCCCTGCGATTGGCCGGCACGGCTCCCAGCCGGGCTCTAGGAGCTCATTGGCTGTGGGTTAGCTCCCTGGGGGCGTGGCCGGAGCTGTCCGATTGGCGGGAGGGGGCGGTATCAGAGCGTGGAGGTGGTGAAGGTGGTGGGGCGGCGGGGGCGGGGCCGCACTGAGGCGCTGCGGCGGCTGCGGCGGCGGCGGCAGCAGCGGTGGCGGCTGCTCTTCCTAGCCTGGCGGGGGCGGGGGTCTGGAGGATGGGGGCGGGTGGAACAACGGGCCGGTGAGGAGCAGCCGCCGCCGTCTCCGCCGTCGCTTGGGCAGCCGCCGCGGTGGTCGCCTCGGGCAGCGCCGCTCGCTCTCGGGCCGTCGCCTCTCATCCGGACATCCCGCCCTGAGGAGGCTGAGGCTGAATCGCGGCTGGCTGCGGGGACACGGTCCGGCCCCGCAGCGGCGCGGCCGGCGGCAGTGACAGCCCGAACCCGGCCCGCCGTCCGCTCTCGCCCTCGGCGCCCGCCTGCAGCCACGATGAACCGGGGAGGCAGCAGCCCGTCCGCCGCCGCCAACTACCTGCTCTGTACCAACTGCCGGAAAGTGCTGCGGAAGGTACGGGCTCGGCCTGGGGTCCGGCCCGAGAGGGGCGCTTCCTGCCCGCCGGGGCGCGGGTGCTCGGCCCCGGGCGCACCCCACGGGGAGCAAGGCTCAGTGGGATCCTCGGGCACCGTCCCTACGCGGAGACCAAAAAAGGGGGCGTGCGTTGAGGGTGGAGGGTTCCGACCGCTGCTGTTTTTCATCTCCACCGGGACAGACGCTAGTACCGAAGGGTTGGGATTTTTAAAAAAAAAATTTTTTTTTAATGCCTGTGGTCTGTTACCCGGCTCGCCTCCCTACCTTGGTACTCCAGGTCTGCTCCTAGGGCGGAGGGAGGGAGGGAGGGACCCGCTCGATCCTTCTTTCTGTGCAGTTGAGCTGTCGATGGAGGTCAGTGTGAAATCAGAGCAGCCTGGTCTGGGCTTGAGGAACCCGGCTCCGCTTTGCTGAGGCTAACTCTTGCGGGTGCTGTTTTTGTTTATTCGGTTGCTTCTGCCTTGCGTGCCTTACCCAACACCCCCTTTTCACATTCTTTTGATGGTCGTCCTGTGTCTATAGTTCAGCCATGAAAGGAACTAGTAGAGCATCTTGAACTTTATGCCCATGGGAAATGCTATTCGACCTTACAGTTTCTCAAGCTGAAGTTGGGGGAGGAGGAGACTGAGGTGGACGTGGGTTATCCCTCCTTAGCACCCCCACCCCGTGTTGATCCAGAAAAATCAGACGCACCATCAGTTTATTTATTGCTGCTTTCCAGAGTGACTGATAGAAAGTTTACTCTTGTATTGTTTAGCTTACTTGGCTTAATCTCTCCGTGGGGGTGGGGGCGTATGGGGAAGGGGATGAAAAAATGTCTCTATAGACCGACAAGAGTTTTTAATCAGATTTTAACAGCCACTTCTGGGTAACATTATAATCGATTTATTCTTATCCAAGCTCTATTTTTACATTTCATTAAGTGAGATGCTTCTGTTTGTCCAGTACAAATGAATTAAAATTGCTGAGCTGTGCAAATGCATCGAGACTGAAAGACCGAGATAAATATGGTACCGTTTTTAGTCAATTTCTCTAAATACGGTTCACTTTAGGATGTTCTTTATATATTAAGAAAAAAAAAAGGAAGGAAAAAAAGCACATAAGTAAGCAAGCTCAAATATTTGCGCTCTTTGTCCAAAAACTGTTTTTCTTCCTCTGTGGGTCAGGCCAAGTGCCAATCAAAGTTGTTTTTCAAGCCTCTTTTCCCTGCAGTAGGGCTGCTGCTTTTTTTTTTTTTTTTTCCTATTTTATTTGAGAGCGTGAGGAGAGCAAAGGGATTGCAGATTTGAAGTTAATCGAACACTTAAATATGCCTTAAATTGTGTTTATTGGATATGTTTCTCTTGAAACAGATTTCTATTAAACGTGCATGTTGAGTATGTGCAGTTATTTTTTTCCATAAACTCTGGGATCAAATTACAGTTGATACTTGCTCAGCTCATTGTAGGGCAGCTTGTGAGAAATGTAATGGATCAGAAGTGCAGATCAGCTTAGTCGAATGTTAACTCTTTCACTGCAGAGACAGATGTCATCTGAACTTAGCTTCTTAGAAAATATTATTTCCTAACTTTAAAAGTGATGTTATGTCTTTGACATGAAAAAAATGTGCTGTTTGGGACATGTTTGATTAAATTCAGGCCTGGTTAAAATGACAGCAAGTTATGTTTTTTAATTGTATAAGAGAAAAAAAGCACTATATTGACTTTGATAAATGTTTTTAATGGCTCTGGCAATTTATTAAGCCAATAAAATGTTTGGAGATGATATTAGGTGTCAAAGTATATTTTATTTTATTTTTTTTGAGAGAGAACTATGGCTATGGATCCATGATACTTTACTAGCATTTGAGACATCTTTACATCTTTCCTTTAGCTTTTGAGAAACTATTTCTGTTTACCTGAAAAGAACATCCTCATTTCTAGCCTTTATTAAAAGAAAGAAGTTTATGGAAAATAAGTATATACCTTTTAATATTTTATAATTGCTGTGCACATCTCTGCCAATATTCCAGTTTTTAGTAACTCCAAGGTATTTAATATTGATTCATGCAGTAGCATAAAATAACTTAGATGGAAATGGGATTGTTTCAGCCAGTTATGACATGACTTGGAACATCTGTAGCTTTTTAAGAGTGCCATTCTTAAGTGCTCTTAAAAGAAATCAGCATCTAGCATTTTAAATTCTTCCTCATTCTAAATATAGCATGTAAGAATGTATTTCTAATAAAGACATGTTTTTCTTATTAATAGAAAGAATTTAAGTAAAATTCATCTATAATTCTCAAAATGTGATTCTTTGAATTTATCTTGTTTTTTCTGTTTAATAAAATGTTTAATAATAGCCAAGCAAATCGTAGTACTTTGAATTTTAGTTTGGTATAGTTCATAAAGGAAGAATGAAACTCATATGCATCCAGTGTGAATTACTCTTTGCTATTATAATTGTCATCAATGATGAGGGAAGAGTCACCTTTATATGTGGCAGAAAGCCTTTTTCTCTCAATAAGTAGCTTAATTTGTTGCAATGTGTTGAATTTAAGAGGAACTTCAAAAGGAACTGAATTCACCTTCTAATGAAATAATTTGGTTTAACCCAATATCTGAAGAATTGTATATTGTATGAGAATCACATTTATTCTTAGAGGTGCCTTTACAATTCTGATTCAGTGTCTTCCAAAATAAATATTGAATGTACCTAATTTGGGAAGCTTAGGTCAGTAAAAACCTAAGAATGGAGAGAGAAACCTTATCTAGAAACAAAGGAGCAAACAAAACCATCCTCCAATCCATAACTCCTGTTAAGCCTAACTTGCTCTGTTGTCGATGAGGTAATTCAATAAAGTTTTTAATAAAAGAGGAAGTGCTTCTATTTACTTTGTAAAGTTAATGAGTTTTGAAGTATAATACATTTTACTTGAAAAAATTCCAGTGACAACTAGATGGTGTGATCCTTTTAATTTCAAAAGTGGAGTGCCAAACTGCATTGAGGAAGGTAGGTAATTGTCCACTCATCTTCCAGTAAATAAAAAGTGGCAAATTACGATGTACTTTGAGTATTGAGCAGTTAGTACCACTTAAGTGAATAGAACTTTGCACTGCAAGTTAGAGGATCTAAGGTTTAAAAATTCTTAATATGTTTAGGTTCTTATATGAGCATATTTTGACAACTTTTTATTGGTTTTATAAGCATAGACACTGCCAAATTAAAATGAAAAATATTAGGTTTAACCATATGAACCTCGTTTTTGTAGTCAATATTGTCAGCGAATAGCAATTTTATATGGTTTAGCCAATAGAATGGATTCACTTTATCTATGGACTAGTAGAGTGAATTCATGATGGCAAACCTTTATGCAGTGATTTTCAAACCGCTTTCTATGGTGCCCTAAGATGCTTCAGGGTTTTAAAATTCTTGAGTTGTGTTAAATTTTAAGTATTTAAATTATTTTTGAATTGTAATTTCAAAGTACAGCTACTCCCAAATGTGTAATATATAATTTTGATACATTGGAGCCTACCACAATTATCTTTTGTGACCAGACTATTCTTGTGCAGGCCTTGAATTACAACTTGCTCTGTTATCTTTGTACATATATTTGAACTTTTTTGTTACTATGTCATTGAAGAGAAGATTGTCATTGATTATGAAGGCACAGGCCTTTTTAAAAAGATTCCTTCCATATCTACTTATGTTTAATTTTTACTTATGAGAATACGAATTTATTGTTATCAATAATTATTACTTTATAACTAAAATACTTATTAAAGTGGTTGCTTGGTATATTTATATGCCTTTAAGTTCAGGTTCAATACAAGATTTCATTTGTAAAAGGGACTCTATTGCTTCCCCCAACTCCCCACTATCAAATAAATAAAAAACATAACTAATATAGTGATACTGAAAGCCACAAGATGTGCTTATAAGTCTTTGATAGGTCTTTTAATTTTGAAGTCTAGTTTTATCTGTAAAATGTAGATAATTTCTACATGCCTTACAAATTGCTGCATAGTTTGAGAGAGATGTGTGTTAAGGTACTTTGTAAACCATGAAGTATAACTATAAGAAAGAAAAGGACAAACCTATATATATTTCCCTTTTTTCCAGAATACCTTAGTTTTTTGTGTTATAGGAATATATTTCAATATATACTGAGTAATTTGGTTAATATCCACTTTTCTGTCCTGTCTAATTATTGCCTATAAATGAGAGGAAAAGATTATGCTTTTAATGTGAATGGCCTTTTTACTTATTTTTGATTTCCATATTTCTATTTGTATTCTTCTACCCTTCTGATCTCCTTCACTTAAATAATAATCCAGTGCATTGCTTTTGCTTTTTCAAATAATTAAATTGTCTCATTAATACTTTAGCAGATAAGGGAATTGATATTTGGTTTGAAAAGACTAAGAATTAAGGATGATTGCTTAATAAAGGTGGGGTTGAATCTAGGGTAAAGAATTTTTAATTATTTTAGTTTAGGAGAAGAGTTATGGAAGTAAAAGTATCTTAATTTTTTCTCCCCATCTCTTGATCCTTTTCATTTTTTCTTTTGAAGGTATTGGGTTGTAATAACTTAAATTTGTATTGACCTTCACAAATTTTAGAGTGCTTTTCACATTATCTCGGTTGATTCTCACATGGTCCCTGTCATACAACTAATAAGATGTTCATTTAATTCTTAATACTGCCTCTGTAATAAACTGTATTCTAATTGTCCCCTGTAGAATTGAGGCTGCTGGGGAATATCCCCACTCCCAGCTTCCACATCTGTGGACTGCCCATAGGTACCTAAAATTCTCTAGGTAATATTGGTTAGAAGTATGAAAGTTAGCCACTCTTTTGATATATTATTGCAGATCAACTGGAGGATTAGGAGAGAAGTAAGCTGGCTACTTTTATTATTTCTCTAACAGTTGTTTGATTAATTCCCTCATAAGATAAAGTAGCAGTTCTCAAAGTGTGATCCTTATACCCCTGTG